CGTTGTTTGCACAAAACCGCAACAACTTCATGCCGTTATTGGTGAGGTCGCTACGGCCGTTTATCCCAATCACGCTGTTCCACTTTTCAGCGACCACTCCGACGTGCGCATTAAAATCTCCCATCAGTACGAGGGACTCTGTATTCGGCACTTCAGACAGAGCACACTGCACTTCCTGAAGGAAGGTTTCATATTCTCCTTGCAAATTGGGCGCATAGACCTGTACCGAGGTAATCGATTTAGCCTGCTGTAGCTTCAGTCGGAGGATTAGCACCCCTCCTCTGATATGCTTCCAATCGATTATTCTATTGGCAAGGTTGGGTTCTACCAGAACGCCAACACCGGCGTGACCGCGAGTCGTGACATCGACGTCTGAGTAGAACAACTTCCATCCATTGAGGTTCAGGAGTCCAGAGCCTGGGCGCTTTGTTGACGAGAGTCCAACAATGTCGAGTTAGTACTTCATGGCCTCATCAACAAATTCATGTTCTTTTCATCTACGTGAGGATATGTTCCAACTTCTGAATTTAAACTGACACTGGTTTCGTCGTTTTGGTGGAGCCTTTACTGACGTGCTGTAATGGCATCGCGCTGTAATGCATCGTTCTGTCAGAACGGGTAGCGACTCCGCTGCTGACTGGTATCTTCGTCCTCGTCCAGTCGGTCCTCGTCAGGCGTCACTATGCTGCCACGCCCCCGGCTGGCAGAGGGCAATGAGCAGGTTCTGATCGCCGACTTTTCGCAGTCTGCCTCAGTCCCTTGGTAACCCGGGCGAAGACCGAGCCGGTATAATTTTCGGTGGCGTCAATACCATGAGTGGCAGGTGGCTTAATTTTACGGAAACTTGCCACGGTCTCCAACCCTCCTCCTTTCTCATCCGGGCTTGGGACCAGACCGACTGGAGAAGCTTTACATAATAAATTTTACATGCGGAGCAATCAAGTAAAGTACTTGTCGAGTGTTGCATTATTAATAACGATGCAACATATTTTGGAAAGGTTTAACGAAAACATTCTTAAAATTTTACAAGCACCGTAATGATCATACCTCAGTAATGTCTGACCGGTACCGAATTGTCATGCAGCTGAAATAGTCCCGAACGGAGACACACTTTTTTACTTTAGGTGTCAAAGAGCGATGTACCGCTTTACACGTAATGACAATGGTCTTCTTGTCCGGGTCAATGCAACTGCGTCGCACAAAGGTGTACTCACGAGGATACATTGGATACTAAAATTTACGTTTACATAGGTTTAAAATATTTTAGTGAAAGGCAGTTGTAAAGCTGAATTTACCGGAAACCGCATGATCCAGCGGATAACCTCGCTTCCTGTATTCTCATCCTTTTCTAAAACATCGATTGATATGATTTGGTGATCCCAACATTTCCGATACTCGAGGTCCATCTGAAATTTGAAAATATGAACTTCTGCTCTGTATCAAATACTTAAAATGCCGCTGCGTAAAAAAAATTACATAAAGGTACTAGGCAAAGTCGATGCTCTTAATAATTGAATTCAATGTTAGAAAGCTGACCTTCGGCTTTGAATTTGCGATTTGCGAAATTCATGTAAATTCTGTACTCGGTGTAAAACTTACTTGCTATTCACAGTTTCAAAATGAAACTGACAAGGAAATTGTACG